CCGGCGGGCAGGGGACCCCCCCGAGGGCGGGGCCTGGCGGGCAGGGGACCCCCCCGAGGGCGGGGCCTGGCGGGCAGGGGACCCGCTGTCAGAGGCCCTGGAGGACTCGGCCCATAATCACGATGCTGGCTGCACACAGAAAAGCCAGAGCCGGAGGCGGACGGCCCAGCCCACACAGGAGCGGAGCTGCCCAGTGAGCAGCTGAAGCCCCGCACGGCCTGTGCAGAAGGCCGGCCTCTCACGCAGACAGGCGCGGGAAACACACAAGAAGTGTGGCTCTAGGGACGGTGTCCACGGTGAGGTAAACAGAGAGGGCGCCTGGCCCACCATTGCAGGTAGTAGCAAGGAGGAGACGCGATTTCAAGGCCACGTGTATTGTGTATAGTCCGCACACACAGACAACGTATTTTGCATGTATTGTTGACTCAACAGGCTAAAATAGCAGGTCACAATCATCCTAAGTGAGCTTGATGTACACAGTTCCTTTACGGGCCCCTGTGAGGCAATCGCATGTACTGGGTACACAGGTGACAACTGTACACGCATGTTCACACACAGGTGACAGGTGAGCTTGTTTCCACATCTGTTGGTCACTAAACTATGAAAACTGCCAGGCTCTAAATGGGAGTCCAGGAGTCAGGCGGGAACAGGAAGAAGATCAAGCTGGGCAGTTGTGCAATAGGGAATTTCATGCACAGATGCACGATAACGAGAACAATTGCAAAACACACCAGAACTACAACCTGGCAGGAAGTGGCCACACCCTGGCTCAGCCAGCACTCCGGCCCGGCAGCAGGCTGCCCAGCCCTGGGCTGCTGCCCGCTTTGTCCTTTGTCCTTTGTCCTGCGTCCCTGCCATAAGGACGGAGTTGATTCAGACCACTTACGTAGCCTCATCCCAATTTTAAAACTTCCTTCTGGTCCCAGATTCTCTGAATGCGCTCTCGGTTTACTAGGCCACTCCTCCACTCCAATGTGTATTTTTGCATCCTGTTATATGGAGTGACAATGGGAAACAAGTATAGTATCCATAAGCCACTATTCCAAACACAGAGGAGACAGGAGCGTTGGGAAGGTGGTCTGGCATGACCGTTACAGGGAGGACACAGTCCCTGTGACCACGGCATGTGGAACCCACGTGGTGTTCAAGCTCTGCCCAGTGGCAGGCAGTTTTGGAAGGGGGTCTGCCATACAGGGAAAGGCGGTGTGAGGCTGGTGGGCTGCCCCGAGGTCCCCTGCCCTGGCCAGAGGAGCGTGTGAGTCTGGAAATTCCCACCATCGAAAGCCTAGAGGAAGTCTGCAAACTTCTCGAGGTGCAAGTGAGATCAGCAAGCAGAAGTAGACAGTTACTCCTGAATAGTCCCAGACTCAATTGAGCCTTAATCTCCATCTTTTCCAATGAACCACAGGATAATCCTGCATTACATGCAGGCCAAGTGTCCTGGCTAAGGAGTCCAGATACACAGCCCAGAAAACAGGGTGAGGACTAGCTCTCAACGCATGCGTCCCTCTTCTAGTGCTAAACTGATTAAGCCTTGTGAAATCCTCAAGGACAGTCAGTAGTTTCTGGGTGTGTTTTATGGGGCACTGATACTAGATCACAGCACACACGCCTCTCAGGTGTCTGTGGGCGCTGTGAGATGTCTGTCTGGCATCTGATCTCCAGTCGCCCTGCATGGAAGGGAGCAAAGGACTAAGGTTTTCTCAGAATGACGGCCTGATGCTTCGGGGTGGTGGCGAGTCGCATTCTGAGGGTCCTGGCGGTGACACGTCCACACACCACACATCTCTGGCACCCAGAGGCAAGCGCCCTCTCCAGGGGCATGAGACGAAGCACTGGCCCCACACCTCCCTGAAAGCAGGGGCCTAGACATTTGAGCAAACCAGGTCATTCAGACCCGCCACCAGCACCTGCCCACACTTGGCCTTGCTTCTGCCCAGCTGGCCAGCAGGCCTCCGGAACTTTCCCTGGTCGTGGGTGGCTTGAAGGTACTGGTCAGCGCTGCTGTGCTGCTGGTCGCTGCTGGACGCTGCCGACATGGAGTCAGACTCCGTGAAGGCCGGCTTGGCCCGGGCCTTCAGAGGGGGCTGCAGGTACTGGCCATTTCGGGAACGTGGCTTTCTGTACACAGATGTGGGTTGGTCAAGTTGGCACTCAAAGCCAAAATCCCCCGGCCTGCAGAATGTATTTCTCTGGTACTCAGGATTGAAAATGCCACTTTCTGACCCTTCACCAATATAAACGTGAGGAGCCCCAGGGAGGTCGGTCGGAGAGCGGGTGGGGGGTGGCCACGGGACCACGCCTCTCCTCAGCATGGCCTCCTCTTCCTCACTCAGCTGTGGAGAGGGGGGCCGGAGTGGTGCCCAGGACACGTGCTGGCACACGCCCCTGGCGTGCCGCTCCAAGTCACCAGAAGCGTCTATCCTGAAAGGCCTCTCTGGCCGGAACGTTGGCTGTGCTTTCCTGTGAGAGTTGCGTTCATCCATGATGAGGTATTTGGGGGTCTGGGGTCTACGACCATGTGCCGTGGGGGCCGGGACCCTGGGCCCACAGCCAGGGGTGCTGACTGGCTCCTGTGTGTGCTGTGCACACGTCCCGGGGGCGCAGGGTCTGCTCTGGTACAGGCCACCCGTGTTCGCACGCAGCCCGCGTCGCCACCTGCAAACCAGGGCCGTTACCGATCTTAAGGTGCTCCGGGGTGTTCTGTGGCTGCACACACACACACACACACACACACACACACACACACACACACACACACACACGTCTGTGGGAAACTGCATGGAATAGGTTTGTTCCGGAAGGCTCAGGGCCCTGGGACAGGCAGCACCAACCTCCTTGTGGGGGTTAGGGGAAGGGCCTTCTGCTCACACGTCTTATGATGGAGCCCTCGGCCTTGGAGGAGCACGTGTGAAGCTACATGTGTGGGGAGCTAGCCTGAGGGGCACACGTAGGAACGCTGTTACCTCCAAGCCCGTCCCAGAACCCCAGGCTATCCCTCAGCTGTTCACTGGGAGGGGGAAGGAGGGAGGGGGGGAGGGGGAGCTGCACCTGCTCCCAGGCTCCTCCCTGTGTGGGGGGAGGGGGAGCTGCACCTGCTCCCAGGCTCCTCCCTGTGGGGAGGGGGGGAGGGGAGCTGCACCTGCTCCCAGGCTCCTCCCTGTGGGGTGGGGGGGACGGGGAACTGCACCTGCTCCCAGGCTCCTCCCTGTGGGGGAGGGGGAGCTGCACCTGCTCCCAGGCTCCTCCCTGTGGGGGAGGGGGAGCTGCACCTGCTCCCAGGCTCCTCCCTGTGGGGGCGGGGGGGAGGGGGAACTGCACCTGCTCCCAGGCTCCTCCCTGTGGGGGAGGGGGAGCTGCACCTGCTCCCAGGCTCCTCCCTGTGGGGGCGGGGGGGGAGGGGGAGCTGCACCTGCTCCCAGGCTCCTCCCTGTGGGGGGGAGGGGGAGCTGCACCTGCTCCCAGGCTCCTCCCTGTGGGGGGGGAGGGGGAGCTGCACCTGCTCCCAGGCTCCTCCCTGTGGGGGGGAGGGGAGCTGCACCTGCTCCCAGGCTCCTCCCTGTGGGGGAGGGGGGGAGGGGGAGCTGCACCTGCTCCCAGGCTCCTCCCTGCGGGGGGAGGGGGGGAGGGGGA